TATTATGTATATATAAATAATATATCATATATATAATATATATTATATACATTATATATATATATATATAAAAGAAAAATTATTATATTTATTTGAAAGTGGCGCCTATAATGATAGAAAATGACTACAAGTACTATGTTGCATTGCACAAATTAATTACGAAAGAAATTGGAAATGTTTTCACATCAGAAAATCTCTTTGTTGAAAAAACATTTTCTAAATTAGGACCATTCATCGCGATATCAAATGCAACTTGGAAATTTTTGCAGTGTTGATATGGCAATGTTTTTTTTGTTTGAACACTTCTCACAACGGTATTGAATTTCGTAAAAATGTCGCAATTCCATTCAGGTCTATGATTTAAGGAAAATACGATTCACATACGCTTTATACTTATATATGAAACTTAGATTTCACACGCCGTAGGATCCAACAATTCGTCCCAATTGATACTCCTCTGAAATACCTCCTGTTGCAACCATAGTTCATAATGTTGCTTAAACTCCTCTGTCAATTCCACATTTGCACCAAGCACGGACGTTACTGACGCGTCAATCGGTTCCAATTCGTCGTCTCTCGGAATATTTGAGTATCTTCGATTATTGAATTGATCAACACATGTACGTAGCTCGCATTCTTCAACTTGAAAATCCCACGGCCGTGCTTCTAAATCTATTTAAATAAGTAATTCTTTATCAAGTTTTCACAATACGACGTATTAAATAAGATATTTCAAACTTATTACCATTACCGTACGCCCAGTCGTCATTTAAGCGATGTCGGACCTTCGCATAAATGACACTAATAGTTTTCATATTTGTCTTTCTCCATTGCCGACCGAGATACTTTGTCTGCATTTTTAATAATTTTAAAACGTATAATTGCATCATTGCATGCCTGACTTTTAGCGTGCGTTTTAAAATAGGTGCTGATTTAAAAACAACTAACATCTGTAAACATAAAAAAGCATTAGATATATATTAATTTTCATAAATATCAATATGTATAAATATAAAAAAATTTGTGTTACTAATTAAAAATTAGCTTACCATTATTCTACTGTGTTTCCATTTGGTTAATTTGTTCAAAATTCTTAATAAATTGATACAAGAGAAAACATTTCTCCATGAAAAAGACTGACTATGACCAATCTCGAGACTTTCAGTAGTTAATTCAGGCTGATCACCAATGACACACATGGGAAAGTCCAAAATAGGAATACTGTTGCGATAAAAATTAACGGTTACATTATGACACTTAGAAATTTAAATTAGAATTGTATTTCTACTTACACATTCTTCGCTTCAATGTATGCTATGATGTTCTGATTTAAAAATTTCAATACAAGGGGTATGCAATTGGCAAATACTAAATGCTGCGACATAAATTCGAATTGATATACATGATTCAACTTAAAATGCTTGAGCAATAATAATAAAATTGCAGAAACGGCTTTAACAATAATTTCCTTATGTCGGTTAACATCAATTCCTAATTTCATTGATTGCAACACTGTCATTCTAAAACCGTATTATAACTTAATTACAATATACATATTTAAAAAATACGCATATTTAACAGTTGTAATATCAATTAATTAAAAATTCAAATATAATGAATTATATACAGTATTTTTTGTTTCTAAAATTTTATGTAAATTATTACGTTGCATCTATCATACTTACGGCATCTCCTCTGGCAACACATCAGCCAAGATATTAATACTATCTGTTTTAGCCTTGCTTGTCGGTGCAGCCGCAAGTAATATTTTTAATAAAGCGATCATGTATTGTGGCAAATTTGGTAATATAGCCTGATAAAGAATTTCCGTTGGTGTTTGACGAAGCGGTGGTTCTAGAGTACTCATCGGGTTTCTTGCTATCTCTTCTTCTTTTCTTATTTGAGTTTCCGCTAGAGATGTGTACATATGCTGAAATATATTATAATATTAAATATTACGATAGTAAATTATGTTGCAATATTATCATAAATCAACAAAATATACCTTTTTAAGGGTAGTGACGCCTTCGTGAATTGGTTGTGGTAAACCTGCTAAACTCTCTCTATCTCCTTGCAATTTGTAACCGACAAACTTCATTCTGGCAACTTCAAGGAAAGTGTCCACATCCTTTTGCCTGACTTTGGGAGTCCATGGCAAACCTGATAAATGAGATATTAGATATATTAATACTCGAATGCAAAAAAGACACACACAAACAATGAAATCTAAAACATTACCTTTTCCTTTTATAAGCTGTGGAGTACCTGGCCTTAATTGTGACTGATTATTCTGATCTTCGTAATACGTTTGATTCCAACCGCCAGGTCCACCAGGGCCCAGAAACACAATCAATTCGCCATCTCCTTCATTTGCTGTGGTATTATTTGGAGGTTCCCCTCCTTCATATTCCATACCTAAACCTGGATCATCTAAAGAGCTTTGTTTTATCAAACTCTGAAAAACATTTGATGATTAATTTATGTGTAGAAACATTAAAACAATCATATAAAATAATTTTCTATAATCGATGAATTACCCGTCGAAAAGGCCGATTATTCCTTTTCTGATTTTGCGTTTCTAACAAATCCGCCGCACTCATAGGCGGAGAGCTAGCTCTCATCATTCTGGCGACTTCAATAGTGTCTTCCTGTTGCGTATCGAGTCCTGCCTCCTCGCGATACTGTTTCTTCAATTCTCTGAGTGCGTTAATGCCGCCAAGGGAGACCAGAATCAACTTCCACAAAAGCAAAAGAACTTTTTTCATAGGAAAATGTGGTGCCGAACCGCTGCAAAAACACGTCACCATACCAAGAAGTTTAACGATCAGCAATTCTTCTCCATATGGATTTACTGAAAAAAAGTCATTTTAAAAAGACCAAATTCTCCTTTATGATATTTATTAAAATATGCCGTACAAACATAATGACGTACCAAGATCTTCTTTAAAAGCTTCAACATTGTCTTTATATTCACTGTGTTCGATATTTTTTAATTCCTCTCGCATAACTTCTGTTATAATGTACAAAACGGACAGAATGACTCTTAAGTCTATCGAATCAGCGAGGCTAACCGCTAGCTTTCTTATCGCTGAGGTAGCAGTTGTGCTATTTCTACAAAAATTATTTTGTAGGAGTACAATAGAAATTCAATCATTCTAATATCGTAT